GTAGTGAAACAGCTAGAAAGATAAATATGAAAAGTATACGTGGTCTCATACTCTTATGTCTCATTTACATAACGGGAATACAAGATTTAGTGTGTCTTTGGTTTCAAATTTACTAAATTTGAGTGTATAGACTGTAGCGCATGAGCGATATGAAATGTTTGAAATGACCATATGATACTTTAAAAATAGATTTTCAATCGTGATTTATAAATACAAATTGAGCATATGAGAAGAATTTTATCTCGATTTGTATGAACGTATTTATAAGCAGTTATTGTAGGCAAGTTCAAACAATTTAAAACTTTGTAAAGGGTATTTTTCGCATTTCACAACAGAAAGCGCACGGGTGAACTAATAATAGTTCAATCACTAAAATTTGAATTTAAGAACACACATTAACCATTTTTGTTAAAATACGCCAAACATGCAAAATTGTTAAAATACTTATCAGAAATTATAATTGTAAATCTTTGTGTCAATTCAAAATAGGTATATTGATATTTATTGTCTTCATTACCAATAGTATAAAAAACCATACTAGTTATGTTCAGGGTTTAGGATTGACAGATCTTGAAATATAAATGACAATATGATAATACATATGTAATAAATTTAGTACAATAATCATATGTGATGTTGATATATAACATCGTCAATTACTGAGATAATTATCTCTTGGAAAAACTATATTGTCACCATTATGTAATAAACACATGAATTATAAAAACACATCTCTCTTTCAATTCATAACATGTGTCAATTTGATTAGAACCAAGAAAAGGTAGTTATTATTCTCAAAGTGATTTATATTTTGAATCAAACCAAGAACGACTTATATTATGCAGACTTATATTATGCACTGGAGAGAGTATATGCCTGTTACTATAGTCTATGTTATAGATTTTGAAGTTTTTTTCCTCTAAGGGTAAAGAAACTATAAAGTTCTTGAATCCTATGGAAACTTTCACCAATGTCCCCCTAAAAAATATCACTTATTACTATTTGATTTATTTAAAGTATCACCTATTGGTATATTTTAACCTTAAGATATAGCTTTCTTACATAATAATCCTAAAAGTAAATTATATAGAACGTATAAAATATAAAAATATATATTATTATTAACACGATCACATTGACATAAGTATACGAATATTACCTTCCAACTTTCTTTTCAATATCAAATTCCACACCCTACCATAATTGAAACCAAGTTTTCCATGCCCTTTCCGTCAGGGCTGGTTTATACTTAGAAAAAATGGCAAATAAAAACTCCCAATATGTAAAATTATGATTTAGGACCCTCAATTTGAAAAATGGCAAATAAAGACCCGGTCTCATATTGCAAATATGAAATTTTGATGAAATGTCTAAAATGCTCCTAAGCCAAGTTGTGATTTGGTTTACTGGAGTTGTTATTCGCTAAAGTGAACTTATCATTTCTCACAGTCAACTTGTCATTTGGCATACCCTCAGCCAACCACTCTATGGTGCTCCTTTGGATCTAATTATAAGGCAAAAATAAAATATTTTCTTTGTCATATTTATAAGTCATATCATTAAATTTTTAATATGAACATACTATATATATTGTTTTGCATTTATTTCAGCATAGGTTTTTTTAAAATGTACATATAATAGGGGTAAAATTAAGAAATTGTTATATTTTAAGATAAAGTTAATGCAATTCAAAGTTTGTCTTGCGTGAAACATGTTGAATTATTATCCCGGTTAAAATTTAAATTTCAATAATCTAAATTCCAAATACAGGGTAACACCAATAATTAATTTCTCTCTATTTTTGCTAGGAACAATAGTAGTTAATTTTTTCATACTAATTGATCAATCAATTAATGAATTGATTAAGTCATGAACTATTCTTTCTGTTTCTTATTATAGAGCATTTTCTAAAAGTAATTTTTAGTCTAAAATAACTGTCACTTTTTAGTATTGGAGAATTAGTTGTAATGCCCTATAATAAGGATGACAGGGAGTATTAAGTTTTACCATGCATTTAGTCAAATTAATATCCTAATTAGCAAAATACCCCCTCCTTACAATTTCTCACATAGGTGCCACAAGAATACAAACACACTGAAATTTAAACAACAAACAGAAGAATTTAGAAGGTTATGTCTCACCGAACAACGCAACACAAATTTAAATTGGGAAATGTAACCAACACACAAAACACCTACTGTGAACAGATAATATTTTAAGGAGCACAATTAGAGATGGTTAAGATTTCAATGTAAAATAAGTGCAAGGAAAATAGTCATTGATGACATCGGAAGATGGAATGGGAAGAGTTGAGGAGTACATACTCCATCCTATTCTTATTATGAACTCTAAATAACTAATTTGCACATAATAAAAAATTAATTAAAATAAGTTAAAAACAATAAACATGTAAGAAATATATATTTATTTTTAGAGAAGTCATCAATTATTTTTAGAAAAGTCATCAATCACTCACCAGTCCTCTTGTTATATGACGTTTTTAGAAATAATTTTTTTATCCTAAATAATTGTCATTTTTTGATATGTGAGAATTGGCTGATTTTTGGTTTAAATAGTTTGAATTGAAGTGTGAATTTTAATAATCCAAATTTCACAAACAGGACATTATCAATAGTAGTTAATTTAGCCAGATCAATGAATCAATCAATGAATTATCTAATTAAAAAGCCATAAACTACTCTCTCCCTCTCTCCTCCTTATTATATGATATCTTCTGAAACTAATTTTTGGTTTCAAGTAATTGTTATTTTTTGGTATACATATGCAAATTAGTTGATTTTTGATCCAAAATAGTCTGAATTGAAACTTAAATTTCAATAATCCAAATTTTAAAAACAGGATAAGAACAATATTAAATAAAAAAATTTTGGATTTTTTATCATCAAGATGAAAAGTCTTTTCTGCCGTCAGAGATATCAAAAAAAGCCAAGCAAGGCGCACGTGCTTATCTTATTTTTTCTTTAGGGTCAGATATTAACAAATGAAGTTTTCAGATGGAGGAGCAATGAAATTTTCCTTAATCAAAACAGAACCAAAAATTTGTAAAACAATATCATTTAAGTTTGGATGATTAAAATTTTACATCTAAGCATACGCACCTCCTATGAATCAGACGGAGGAGTGCAATAAATATAGTTGTTATGTTTTAAAAGTTTATATGAAACTCTGATAAAAAAAACTATTCTCTTTTCTTTTAATTCTGCCTCAATACTTTATTTCAGAAATTTATAAATTATAAATAATATAAATAATATTTTCCATTTCGAAACTTTTCTTTATGAAATATGGACATTAAAACATTTTAACATGTCAATGTCCCATCTCATTATTGTTCCCTCCTCATGAATCATCCTGTAAAATGCACGGGATCCGCCATAACGGAGTCTTTTACTTTTAAATCTTTTTGAAAGATATAATTTTTTGGAGCAGCTGAATTATGATTTTTATGACCTTGGACTAATTTATTTTAAGGAAGAATCAAAGAAAGTGTGAGCAACAATAGTTGGAAGAAAAATTGCATAGATATACCCATCTAGCAAGTCTTTTCATATCAAATCGTAATTACATTATGGAATACTTTAGTGCAGATAACATTCGCTGTTACTTAATCATGCCTATAAGAAAAATAAATTGTAGATTTTTTTACCGAACCAAACTCAGAAGAAAGAAGGCCAAGCCGAAGAGATTTATATCCACGGAATTTCTCATTCGTTCGCTTGTGATCGATTCATATTCCCTCCTGGGTTCGTTGTATATTGCCTCTCCAAGTCCCCACGACCCACACAGGAATTAAATACAAACAACAAAACACCTGACCCCTAAACTTCCCCAAAAAAACTGATAAAAGCAAAAATAAATATTCACAAGCCACAAAATACAATCCACGTGGCCCAACACCTGTAAATCTATGTGGACCAATCACAAAGCACTCACGACGTTTATAGAATATATAGATAGATAGAAGATAGATAGAATCAGATAGTTTAAATATATTCATAGACATAAAACAAACTTTTTGTCCCTTGGCCGCTTCACATCCCGATCTGAAATTGCATTGATGGAAGTGATGTGGATAAAATAATATTTAATTTTGACCTGGAAATGTGTATTGAGTTTGGGAAAGTGAAAACTGTAGCCTTTCACAACACGAAAAAGAGGGTAAAATCTGGAAATCAATGAAAATTGAATTCAAACCCCCTCGAGCTACCTTCTTTCCTCTTCAAGAATTTTTGTTTTTTTAATACCACAACTACATAAGTAATTTTTTATATTAAGAAAATTAGTTATTTATTATAAAAATTTATCTATTTTCCTAAAATATCGGTTCTTTTTTTGAGTGAAAAAAAAAATTCTTTCTAATTATATGCATTGTAACTATTAGGAGGGTAAAGAATGGGGTGCTAGTACGACGATTCTTCTAGTATTTAATGTAAGTCTCATGTAACTAATTTGATTAGATTAAAAAAGTTAATTGAGCTAATTAATTAAAATAAATGTGACATATTTTTTTTAAAATATCCTAACCATCTTTTTTAAACCTTCCTTCCTCTCCTAGTTAATTATAATTGAGAGAATATTAGTAAAAGTGATTTAAAAAATAATTAATAAATATGAAAAATAAGCCTCACATTTTAGGATCGATCAAAATCTACTCTATAATTAGCTTCTACATTAAGAAATTCAAAGAGTATTATTTTATATTTCGTCACATGTCACTTAGCTTTTCGTAACTTGTTTAATTACCCGCTAATCGTGTCCGTACAATTAGGCCGAGTTTAAAAGTAAAAGGAATAGGCTTTCGTACATGTTGAACCACAGGTGACAGAGACGCCTGTATTTTCTTGTACATTTGATCGTTAGTTAACACCGACACAGTTGTTACCCACCCTAGCCTTTTTATTTGGTTTGATTCTACTCTAAAACAATAAAAACAATACAACCTCAAAACCGACAGCATAAGAGGAAGCTGCGAACTAAAGATGAACTCTCATCAGCCATTATTGACATTAAGGGTGGACAATGAGGACGACGATAATGCAGAGGTTTGTTGGATTCCACGTTATTCTTCTGCAGAAGTTGAGGAGTTTCTGAGGAAGAATGATGATGATAGAGAGAAGAAGATTCAGACAGTGAAACGGTGGATTAAGGTTGTTGGTTGGGAGACGAAGCTGATTTGGGAGTTATCATGGCCTGCTATAACTAGTGGTATGTTCAACTACATGTTGATATTTGTGACTCTCATTTTTGTGGGTCGTTTGGGTGACTCCCAGCTTGCTGGTGCATCTCTTGCTTGTCTGGGACTTCAAGGTGTTGCTTACGCTGTGATGGTATGTATTATAGTCCAAATCAATTTTCTGCTGACATATATACTCTCTCCAATCTAGCCGGTTCTAAGTTTTATAAGACTTCAATCAATTTTGTTTCCTAAATTTACTATGATTTTCTTCCTAAACTCCTCCCGTTTATTGCACAGGATTTTCCATTACGAAATATAGTTTTCAATGTACATGATTAGAAGAAATATTTAGAAAAATCCTCACATATTTTTATGAACAACTAATGTAGCTAATTTTGTAAATTTTTTCCACTAGTTATCTAGCTCATATGTTTAAAATTAGCAAAAGTCTTTAATTATTTACCATACCACTAATATTCAATATGGCCGTAGTCATATTTCATTATCGTCATCTTCCAATTAGTTTGGATAGAAACACAAAAGTGGACTTAATTATCATCACTTTACCTAACATCTTAGTTCTGTATACCTAATAGCAGTAGTGTGCTTCTGTGACAAGGTAGTTAGACATGTGATGTGGGGTCCATTCCATCCATCTCATTATATGGTCTCTTATATTCCTCTAATCCAATATACTACTTCCGGTCCTTAATATAAGATCTCATTTAACTTTTATTTTGGTTCTGAATATAAGACTCCAATCTACTTTGTCTTTCATATTTTTTTTTTTCAAGATAATCCTTGTAATAATAATAATTCTAGTCCATACACTTGATTAGCAAGGATATTTTAGGAAATATAACACCTATTTATTACAAATAACAAACTTAACTATTTTTTTAATCTACTTAAATTAATCAACTAACTCTTATATTAAGGACTAGATATAGTATAAGATACAAAGAGAATGTTCTTTTTTTTTTTTTAATCTTATGTATAAGTCACTTTTTATTAAATTTTTAACTTGAATGTATGTATTATTTTACCCTTCATTTATTATCATATAGATTGTTATTTTCTTGGAAAATAAATATATTAAATAGAGACAAAATTAAAAAGTTGTTAAACTTTAAAGCAAGGTTAATGAGATTAAAGGATTTTATTAGTTTTGATAAAATATGTTAAAAATAACTTATAAATAGGACTAGAGGAGTACTCCCTCTAGTCCTAATTATTTAGGACATTTTCATCTAATTTTCACATCGCCAAGAAATGACATTTAAGTCATTAAAATTGTTCTAAATTGATAAATGTTTCCAACTTTGCCATCTTTGAACGATGTGATTTAATTTTTTCAACTTTGAACCTCAATTAATGACAAGGGTAAAATGAGCAAAAACTAGTTAGTGGGTTTACTGGTGACTTATATTTGGAACCAAAAATTGCTCCTAGAAAATGCCCTGTAATAAGGATCACATGGAGTATGTAATTTCATCGATGCCTATCATTTATCCTATTATTTGATTAATGCCAAATATTATTATGAAAACACACACACACACACAATCTGTATAGCTAAAATATATGTGTGAGCAGGTAGGAATGGCTAGTGCAGTTCAAACTCTATGTGGGCAAGCATATGGGGCGAATAAACATGCAGTTATGGGCATTATTTGTCAAAGATCAATGATAATGCAGTTATTAGCAGCCGTAGTGCTCACTTTCTTCTTCTGGTATTCTGGTCCAATCCTTAAGTTCTTGGGCAAAAATGACAGTGACGAGATTGCTGAAATAGGTCAAACTTTTGGACGTGAAATAATCCCTATGCTCTACGCCTACGCTCTCGTATATCCCATGCAGAGATTCCTCATTGCACAGAACATTGTCAACTTTCTGGCTTATGTAGCTTTTGGAGTTTTCTGTTTTCATCTTCTTTTCACATGGCTCGTCGTCTCTGTTCTAGGGTTTGGTCTTCTGGGTGCTGCTCTTACTTTGTGTCTCTCTTGGTGGCTGCTTGCGTTTATCATAGGGCTTTATATTATTCGGAGCCCTTCTTGCAGAAAAAGTTGGACTGGTTTTTCTCTTAAAGCTTTTAAGCTGAAAGGATTGTGGACTTATCTCAAGCTTGTGGTTTCTTCTGCTGCCATGATGTGGTACGTCTCCAAATAATAATCTTATCTTCATGCAAAGTACTACCTTTCTACTTAATAAAAGAACTAGTTAACTAATTTGAATAAATTAAAAAAGTTTGTTAAATTAGTTATTTATAATAAATAGGTATTATCTTTCTTAAGATACCCTTAATCATGTGTATTAGCTAAAACTATTATCTAATGAAACTTTTAACCTATGTAATTATTATAAAAACTACCTCAAAAATGGATAAATATGAGAGACAAAATAGAAGGTCTTATATCTTGAACCAAATTGAATATCAAACTAGCTTTTATATTAAGAATTGAAGGTAGTATTTTGGATAAATATTCCTTATAATGAAAACAATATTGTAGTTTGGATGTAGGGTTTGCTCTTGCAGTGTATGTTTTATCAGAGATGCTTCCGAACTCTACCATTGCAGTGGACTCTCTTTCCATTTGGTAACATATAATATTCTTTTTGTTTTTATTTCTTCATTTTTTTAATTTAATTTCTTTACCCCTAACCTTAATTAATCCCTTTAATGTCTAATGACATGTCTGTTTTCCTTAATTTCCTTTCAGTCTCAACTACGTCAACTTGCACTCCAGTTTTGTCACCGGCTTATTACTTGCTGCCAGGTCAATCATATTATACAAATTAAAAAAATTAGTTAAATTAGTTATTTATTAAAAAAATGCATTGGTTTTTTAAAATACTCCTCCTTTTTATCATCTTTTCCCCTGGAAACTACTTCTATTGTTTGTGAACTAACGAAACTTTTAATTGGCTCTTATATTTAAGACAAGAGGAAGTAATAACTTCTTGAAGCCCGTCTCGAAAATTACTTTTTTTTTATTATTGAATTTAACATCCAATGTAGCATAAGTGCAGTGTGAGAGTTGGAAATGAACTTGGGGCTGGAAATGCAAGAGTGGCAAAATTGTCAGTCGCAGTATGTAATGGAATTGGCTTTCTGATATGCTTCATTTTAGCTGCGATTGTTTTGGCGTTTCGCGTGGCCCTAGTCAAACTCTATTCCGCTGATTCCCAAGTTATTCGAGTCACTTCCTCTTTGTTTCCCCTTATTGCCCTTTACTTTCTCATCAATGGCAATCACTTTGTCCTCTTTGGTAAGTACATACACGTAATTATTTATCATTGTTAATTGTTTTTCTTCGATTAATTATCTATATATATATATTATGAGATATCTTTTAAATGTGGGTATATATAAATGTCAGGCCAAGCAATTGGAAGTGGACGACAAGCCATAGTGGGTTGGATGAATTTGGTTATTTATGCTATTAGCTTCGCTCTTGCCTACTTTCTTGGCTTCAAAACCTCTTTAGGACTTGCTGTAAGTTTAATCACACTCTAATAATTTCACTATATATATATATATATCATACTATTTACTATAATATTAAAAGTTAATCTAAATAAGCTGGTTAGACAAGTGAACCGATAAACTAATGCCGTGCCTAGTCTAATCAGAAATTTTGGAAGGGTTGATCGAGTTAGGTTTTATATATTTTTTCTTTTATTGAGGATAAAATGACATTAACTTTGAATCCTTGTTTAGCATGTCCGATTATTTAATTACTTTGAGTGAATTTGCTATTTACAAAAATGAATGATCATATGAAATAAGATACGTTGAGAAGTTTGCAACATATCAATGTTGCAAAACTTTTGTGATTAGATTTGTGAAAAATTTCTTTTGGAGTCCTTGCTTGATGCAATCTAAACTATCCAAAATTTGATATGGATGGTTTAAATTTAAATTTTTAATATGCAAAATTTTCAATAATAATTTTATTTTTTTAAGGAAGTGTTAATTATAAAATTATCTTTATTTTAGATTATATATATTAAAACAAAAAATTAATTAAAACATTAAGAAGACTTAAATTAAATCTGGACCATTCACAATTAATTTGGATGATTCAAATTGCGATTAGCATAGAACGTGCTCTTTTTTCCCCCCAAAAAATTTGTGATGAATTTTGCAAACGGATTTGAACCGTACTGCACATTTTATATGTTATGATAAGTGATAACTTCATCTAAAGCAAGATGGTATCGTAACTCAATTGATATAATTTAAGGTTATCAGTGTAGTCCGTACAGCCACACAAATAAGAGATAACTATAATTAAAAATATTAATTATTGTATCTAGTTCTATGTGATTAATTATATACTAATTATACTGTTGGAGATTATGTGAATTATATTACGAATAATATGTGTGTTTTATTTTATTATTTTTTATGATTATTTAGGGTCTTTGTTGGGGCTGGGTTATTGGAGTTGCTCTACAGACAATTATTGTTGGTGGGATCATAATGTTTACTGACTGGGAGGTTCAGGTAATACTCTTGACATTTTTAATACCATTTATTTATTTGTTTAATTTTAAGATAATTACTTTGTAGAATTTTTTTTTCCAAATAGACTTATTTGATTTATTATATATTCAGAACAAATGGGCATGCTTTAATTGAATTTTTACCTTTTTGTAGGTGGAAAAAGCTGCGGCTCGTCTGCAAAATTCTGCAGATGAAAAGATTTTGAATGACTTGATTGGTGATTAATATTTAATTAGTATTCAAATCAAACAATCAATTGATTAATTGATCGTCATTTGTGAGAGAGTTAATGGCTATTAGGAAAGCTGTATGTTAATTTGTGTTTCTGTTGGATGGCCTGTGGCTGTGTTCAATTTGCAGGATATCTTTGATTTCCATTTGATTTGTGTTTGTTAAATTGTTTCCTTTTCTGATTCATTGGTTGTAAATTGTAATTAATAAGTGTGTTTTATTGGTTTGATGATTGATTATTTGGCGTGTGTAGCTTGATTTTGAGAATTAATAAGAATTTCACAAAAAGAAACTTAAAATTACTAAATTTCAAATTTGAGACTTCTCACATTAATTCAAATGACAAGTCTGTTTAGTTTTGAAAAGTTTAACACTTTGTTTTCAATTCATCAATAGAAGGGCCAAGTTATTTTCTTTGTGTAGATTATGTCAATAATTTGACAAGATTCATTGAATATGGATTCCCTTATGATAAATGCAGCTTTCTCTTCTTTGTGAATCATGTGACTTTCTTCCAAAAATCACTACCAAAAAAAAAGTTGAATTAGCAGTGGTACATTTCTAGTGATTAAATAAAACCGCTACAAATTCAGAAATTTCTAGCATTTTTCAAACAAGCCGTAAGAAATTCGTAGCGCTTTGACCAAAAATCGAGTGGGCCCCAGACTTTTCTAGCAGTTAGCAGTAAACTGCTAGAAAGTGACCACCACAATTGTTCGCGTGTATTGGCACGAAGTTGGCGCCATACTTCCAGTGTTTAATTTCTAGCGGTTTTGCTGATGGAACCGCTAGAGAATGCAAATCATCGTTGTATTCTCTAGCGGTTACTAAACCGCTACTAATGCAATCAACTTTCTAACGGTTTCTCTTAAGACTGCTAGAAATTTTTTATTTTTCCTGAGGAGTTGTGACACGTGGCTGAATGCAGGTGGTGGCGTAGTGTAACAGCTAGAAATTTCTAGTGATTTATTTAAACCGCTAGAATTTTCTAGCGGTTCCTTGAAAATCGCGGCCTATATATATCCCACCACCGCGTCATTTTCACTGTTTTGGTGAATTTTGAAGCGAAGCTCTACCGAATTCTCTCCACGAAGTATATCCAGATCCAAATCTAATCCAGTTGCATATCCATATTTTCAGGTAAGAATAGTAATTTATTTATAAATAATTTTTTGTTTTATTTATTTATTTTATTTTTTATATTAAGTTTGATAGACTAGCTTAATTTAGTTAGAGTTAATAGAAATTTTTTTTATAGTAGGCTAGTTTTTATAGAGTTAATAGAAGTAGTTTTTTTTTTTGATGAGTTAACAGCAAATTTAAATATAGGAATATCTGTTTTTCAATTAATATTATTTGATATTATTATTTAGAGTTAATAGAAATAATTATTATTTGATATAATTATTTATTTTTAATAATTGTTAGTTGTAAAATATACTTTTCATTACAATTGCTATTTGCTATTATTAGGATGAGTTGTCGAGCAGGGAAGGAGCCGATTGATCCTAAGAGAGCAGGACCCAGCAAGGATTGTGGTAGTGGGAGTCATGATGCTAGTGAGTTATTCCTGAGCATTCATTACTACGATCTGAACGAGGAGGATATCCGCACTTCATGGAACATGATGATATCCAACGGACTGAGGAGGCTCATTTCTCAGGGGATGAACAACCCCATGGTGATGCTAGTGAGGAGGAGGAGGAGGAGGAGCAGGTTCAGGGGAATAAGAATCCCCATACTGAGTAGCGTCCTTCTTCTAGACACCAGACCGGTTATGAAATAGAATTTGAGGGTAAGTATTTATTCAACTTTTTTAAATTTGACAACAATTTAATTTATATAGAAATTGTTTTAATTAATTAATATATAATTAATTTCTTAATTAAATTTTGCAGACTCTGAGGGGAACAGGTCCTATAAGAGGCTGACAGCCAGAAAGCTGTCTATGACGACGACCGGACGGGTGGTTGTGCCGTTGAATGAACTAGGCCAACCAACCAAGAAAGGTGGCCAGCTGTATAATAAGTATATGCGTCTTCTTGGTCGGCAGTGGACCCTGTTCCCCATTTATGTGAAGGATTGGAAGAAAATCACTCTGGAGAAGAAGCAACAAGGTTGGGAAATGATGAAGGTAACATAAAATCATTATTCACAATTTTTTAATTTAAGTAAATGAATATATTTTTTATTTAAATTACTTAATTGTTTGATTATAATTTGTTATTGATGTAATTTATTTTTATTCATATTATTTTGAAATTAGTTAAATGAATATATATTTTATTTAAAGCACTTAATTGTTTGTATTTAAATTTTTATTTATTTAATTAATTTATTACTTATAATATTTTTAATTAGTTGAATGAATGTATATATATTTATTTAAATTACTTAATTGTTTGATTATGATTTGTTATTGATGTAATTTATTTTTATTTATAATATTTTGAAATTTTATAATATTTTGAAATTAGTTAAATGAATATATATTTTTTATTTAAATTACTTAATTATTTGATTATAATTTGTTATTTATTTCATTAATTTATTACTTATAATAATTTTAAATTAGTTGAATAAAAATATTTTTTTATTTAAATTACTTTATTGTTTGATTATGACTTGTTATTGCTGTAATTTATTTTTATTTATAATATTTTGAAATTAGTTAAATGAATATATATTTTTTATTTAAATTACTTAATTGTTTGATAATAATTTGTCATTTATTTCATTAATTTATTACTTATAATAATTTTAAATTAGTTGAATGAAAATATATTTTTATTTAAATTACTTAATTGTTTGATTATGATTTGTTATTGATGTAATTTATTTTTTATTTATAATATTTTTAAATTATTTAAATGAATATATATTTTTTATTTAAATTCTTAATTGTTTGATTATAATTTTTTATTTATTTAATTTATTTTTATTTATATTAGCGAAATGAATATAATTCTTTTTTTTAATTACAAAGTAAATTTATACTAGGAGAGGAGTTGAGGGCAGATACGATCAAGAGACTTGGGGTAGCATGGAAGAACAGGAGGGCTGACCTATGGCGGGAGAAGAAAGGTGACGGGACGAGGCCCCTGCAAAAGATACTGGTAGATATACCCGGTGGAGTTCCGGAGCAAGACTCGTCGAGTTATGTTTATTTTAGGATGTCCGCTGAGCAGATAGTATGATAATATTGCATTAATTATAATTTTTTTATTTTTTGTCCAATTTGACTAATTTAATTTATTTTTTTTTACATTTTGTTTCAGGCTCTTTCCCAGAGAAATACTAGGAGAGTCAGGTAGCAGACAATACATCATCGGGTTAGATCCAAGAGCTTTGCTATCACCTATGACGAGATTGTAAGTACTTGCAAAGAATTTGTTAAATGTGTATATGTATTTAATTTGTAATTAATAATTTCTTTCATTTCATTTACAGAGAGAAAAGACGCGACAAGAGCGGGGATACACGCCCACCTATAGCGAGATGTGGCCGATTCTGTATAGACCTCGAGACTGGCCTGCGTCGGATGAGGTTGAAGAGATGGCGGTAAGTAATTAATTAAATATTAATATCATATCGCAGTATAAATATTATTTCATACTAATTAATATTTTTATATTAATTTTGATAAGCGCGGATGACTCAGGTCAATACCGAGCTGCGTGAGTCTCAGGACTCTGTCTTGGATCCCACCGCCTCACTTTTTGCTGGTTGTGGCCGAGCGCAACACCTTGGTCGAGTTAGCGGGCTTGGTCTTGGACCCACACCAACTAGGTTGCCTTGCTCGGGTTGCGTTGGCCCTTCATACACTGCAGGGAGCTCTCAGGCGAGCGCAGGAGCAAAGCAGCCGGGTTCCTCATCCTCAGACGAGCTGCGACAGGAGGTTAGGCAAGAGATGGAGGAGGGTGATCGTCAATTCCAGTTGCAGCTTGACCAGTTGATAAATGCTGATTTTAATATATTATTTGATATCTTTTTAGAGATATTTATCAATTAAAGTGGGATAAATTGCATTGATTGTAGATATTTTGAATCAAATATTAATTGCATGAAATTAGAGATTTAATAGAAGATCTTATCATATTTTTATCTCTTTTTAAATAATTGATTTTGGATTTTATGATAGCATCTCATTTTATCTTTTGCAGGCCTTAAAAATAAGGAAATAAAGATCATAGAAAGCTGAAAGGAAGGAAATAAAAAATGCAAAAAGAAGGAAATTGGAGACACAGCTTGGATGGCATCAGATATGATATTATCTATATTTTTATGGATTCAAAAAGAGGACACGGAAATTATCCACATGCCTATCTTTGAGATTTGATTTGGATATATATTATATCTCCTCCTTCACGCAGATATCACAGCCCCCCCTGTTCCATTCCTATATATATCACCGTACACACACTCATATGGGACGCCTCACAAGCCTTCAGATTCTCTCACACACACGCTACCTTCGTACGCCGCCACACCAAATCCCTTTTCCACCAGTTTTTGTCTTTTCCCTTTCGGCCATATCCACACCCACATACACTTCTCATAGCCGCATACGCACAGCACCAATCTTCATATATTCACTCACGCATACACCGCCGATCTCACATCCAACTCTCATCTCTTTCTTTCGGCCAAGGACGTAACTGCTTCCTCTTTTATTTTTATACGGCCAATCCTCACATTCATCTTTCACTGTAGCCTCCATGAATTCTCATTGCTTCAAATATATTGTGGATTCTTCTAGAGCTATGAGAGGCTAATTCCTTTGTGCTTCTTGAAGATGGAGGAGTAGCTTGAGCTTGGAGCTTCAACTAGGGGAGTATTTAGTTTTCCAATTAATTTTCTCTTGGACTTCATTAGATTTTTCCTGTGTTAGGAATATTTCATTTGATTTGGAGACTGAGATTATGCGTTACAATTTCTGTTAATTGGATTTTTGCAGTTTAATTTGAGTTGTATTACTTGGGATTTGAATTTATATATATTTCCTTTGCATTATTAAAATTATTTTATCTGGCGCGTTGTTAGATTTTATGATTGAGATGTATTGCAATTGAGTGTCTCCGTGAGCATTCTTTGAGAGGGAAACAAGTTTTATTAACTCAATTTAAATTGCACATCAAGTGGTTTTTAAAAGTAACTTAATAACTTGATTACTATCTAGCGTTTAGGGTAGTTAAGTGTTGAGTTTACTTGACCCAAACCGTGTTTGGGGTTGTTTTTCTTAACTTGGTGAATTATTTTACTCCCATATCTTTTATTAAGCAAGGATAGCTACATTCTGTTTTCAAGAAGCATTCTCATCACTGATTTTCTAAAATTCAAATTTGCATTTTTCATTCTTTCTTTATTAAAAATACCCAAAAAAAATAGTTTAGATTTAATTCTTATTTTCATAATTAGTTTTATTAATTGAAAAATCCTTTTTCAACCCCCTTTTTATTCTTTGTCACTTAGTTAACTTAGGAATTAATAAAAGGCTCCTCAAGAGACACGACCCGAGTTGTGCTTTACTGCATAATTTGGTTTTATTTTTGATTTAACCCAAGGCGACTAAAAAGGTCAAATCAAGTGGCGCCGTTGCCGGGGAGCCAAGTAATTGGTTCCTTAGTAAACTAAGTGTCAGTTTTTTTTTTCTTTTCTTTATATTTTCTTTGAATTTTTTTTTTCTAGTTTAGGTTGCATTTGCATATCATTCAAAAAAAAATTTAAAAAAAAATTCTCATTTTATTTTAATTATTTCATTTTTTTTGTCTTATTTGCATATCTTGCATTGCATTTTGCATTTTTGCATTAATCTTCATTCATTTTCGCACATTGCTGTTCTGAATTTCTTTGTGTATGACCAGAGATAAAGAAACCCTACTTGACGATCCTGAGTTTGACATACCTTTGAAACAACTTAAAAGGAAAAATAAGAAAAAGGGTCAAAAGAGTGATAGGGAACTTCTTTTAGAACAACACATTCCTAGTACAGCTAACCAAGTTTTAGACATGGCTGATCGTACTGAGAATAGGGGTAATGGTGAAAATAGTGGAAATGGAAATAGGGGCAATAGGGACAATAATGGTCATGAGGAAAATAACAGACCTAGGAATAATGGTGAAGATCAGAGGAGTCTTAGAGAAATAAACAACTCTACTGTGAATTTTGATCCTCATGGTTTTTACAATTTTAATCCCAATTTTGAAATTAAAGGAAATTTGATTAATGCTTTGCCTAAATTTTTTGGCCTTTCAGGAGATGACCCCTACGGACACATTGAGACCATGATGATGGTGTGTTCCACCATGAAGCCCCAAGGTGCTGATGTCGAGGAAGTTTTGAGGAGAACCTTTCATTTCACCATGGAAGGAAAAGCTAAAGAATGGTTAAGAACACTTCCTCAGCACTACACTACACTTACGTGGGAGCAACTCAAGACAGCATTTCTTGAAAAGTTCTTTCCTGCATCCCGATCTTCTAAGCTTAAGAAAGCTATTTTTGGTGCACAACAAGATGAAGGAGAATCGTTTTATGAATATTGGACCAGGTTTCTCACCATGATGGCTCGTTGCCCTAATCATCAGATTTCCAAATCTAATTTGGTTCAGTATTTCTATGAGGGTCTTTTGCCACTTCATCAGAGAACTATTAATGCTGCTGCTAATGGTTCGATACTCGATCTCACTCCACAAGGTGCCTGGGACTTATTTGAGAAAACTGCTACAAATGATCAACAGTATGGTACTAGAGACAGACAATTTGTGAGGGAGGTAGCTTCATCTTCT